GGTTATTTCAAAAGACCTGTCTTCAAGTTCTGAAATTCTTTCTTCTGTTTGATCTAGCCTATTGTTGAAGCTCTCAGTTGTATATTTTATTTCAATACATTGAATTCTTCAGCTTTAGAATTTCTATTTGGTTAATTTTTTATGACATGTACCTCTTTGGTGAATTTCTCATTCATATCCTGAATTGTTTTTCTGATTTCTTTATATTGTTTATCTGTGTTCTTTTGTATCTCACTGAGCTAGTTTAATATCGTTATTTTGAATTCTTTTTCAGGCATTTCATACATTTATTTTTCTTTGGAATCTATTTCTGGAGAATTGTGTTCCTTTGGAGGTGTCGTATTTCCTTTTTTTTTTTTTAATGTTTCTTGTGTCTTTATGTTGATATTTGCACATCTGGTATAACAGTTGTTTCTTCCAGGTTTTGGATTGCCTTTCATAAACAAAGACTTTTTCCTGTAGATGTATGTATGGTATTAGTTGGGTAGGGCACTTTAGTTTTGATTCTGGGTATGTGCAGTATGTTTATGTTTATGATTTCTTTGGCTGTAAGTAGTGTCAATGGTGTCTGTGATTTCCTCAGTGACTTAGGCTGAAGTGGTTAGTGGAGGTTGTAGTGAGATGTTGCTTAGGATGGGGAGGCCAGGTGGGCCAGTCCTTGGGCCCCTGTAGTGGCAGTGGTGAGCTAAGTATACCTGTCCTTGGGTCCCCCTGGTGGCATACATGGGCACTGGTATTAGTGGGTCTAGAAAGACCCACTAATTCTTGGGCCTCCAGGCTACACGATGGCAGTGACAGCAATGGGCTGGGTGGCTGGGCAGGCCTCAGGTTGCTGGGCAGTGTGTATGGCATACATGATGGCAGTATCAGTAGTAAGATAACCTCAGGCTCTCAGATGGCATGAGCTGGTGTCAGCAGTGGCTGCTATGGCTGGGTGAGGCAGTCTCCAGGCCCCTGGTGACATGTGTGGGTGGTAGTGGTGGTGGTAGCAGGCTGGGTACTGTATCCCCTTCTTTTTATTTCTTTTTCTTAAT